TTTCACAGGAAACCGCCCCGTTGTATCAGGGGACTTAAAAGAGAAAATCAAGGCGAGCCCCGTCCACACGAACCAGACTTGCCTCAGCCACCCACCTGTCGTTGAAATCTGTCGAAATCAAACGCTTTCGATCAGATCTTTACCCTAAGCTAATGCTTAGAGAAAGTAATGAGATGCTGAAATCTTGTGAGATGAACGTTATTCGTAACAATCAGATGCTGATATGAATCACGTTCATCTCACAAGATTTCCTCCTTTCGCGACGTCCATGGAGAACGGGGGCGATACATTGTCACACACGTACACGAGATCAATGGACACGAGCTGCTCGGAAGCGATGCGAGTCGTCAACTCGTCGATAGGCAGTTTTTTTTTGTTTTTTAATTCTGTTCTTACTGCGTTTCTTCTCAGACCTCGAATTTGGCGAGAAATCGACAGCTTAGATTAAGGGACACCAACAACAACCACAGGTCTCTCAAAATACTGACTATCTCAAAGAAAAATAAGCTACGAAAACTGAAAGTGTAGAAATGGTTAGGGAGTGTAGTACGACTAGGTTCGTAACAGAAAAGGAACTAAAACGTCATTAGATCAATTCTAAAACTAAATGAAATTAAATTACATAGTGTGTAGGGAAAATGATAAAAAGGTCAAGGTCGAAGCGTCCTATTTGTTCCAGTTTAGGAATGGCGGCTGCGATGGAACAAAATCGGATCAAATTGGATTTGTTTGTTTACGGGAGAAATAATATCTATCTAATGATGTATTGCAACAAAGGGAAATAAATCTTTCGTAAATAAAACCAAGAAAAACAAAGACGTTGATATTTATTCAGTTTTATTTCGCTTTATTTTCTCAATGTCTTCTACCCAAAGAATCATTATCACGTTTTCGTAATACTTACGAATTATAAAAGTAAACAATGTCTATTTAATTCCACAGGGGTTGATGACCACTTTTTCCACTCTAAACAGGGTCAGCCATGCCTGATTTCATTGTCTCACACTTAACTACAGTTTTTCGATGTTTCTCCAGCCTTACCTTTAGCGAGCAGCTGGTTTCACCATTTTACTCTTTACCACAACTGCAAGGGATGGAATACATGCCGTTCAGGGTCATTTTCTCATCTAAGTTAGCAGAGATTTCTCCGTAAGGTCGAGGTACTTCTGAATATTGTCATGCTGTCATGTGGAACGCGAATCTTTTCGACAAGCCCTTGACGTAAGGGAGACAAGCTGTAAAGTTTTCTGATCACCTTCTTCCTCGACAATTTTATTTCTGCCTACAGTCTGTTCTTTTATTGTTCTCACACCTTAGTGTTTTTTTTGTTTTTTTTCTCCTGGGTACCTTTTTAATTATTTACTTTTTTGTCATTTAACCACGGATTTCCGAAAATGGTTAGTTCCTTGGTGTCAGTCTCCCATGACGACTGAGCTACAACTGCACCACACCGCGTGCTACACACTCTCACCGAGTCAGGAGGGTAATGAGAGGGAGCAATAGAAGCAAGTTGCTGGCTAGGACTACTTTAAAAATTTTGGGATAACAAAACACCCCCCGCACAAAACAAAACACACGCTTCTTAGATAGATAGATAGATAGATAGATAGATAGATAATGAACTTAATCAGATAGATAGATAGATAGATAGATAGATAGATAGATAGATAGATAGATAATGACCATAATCAGATAGATAGATAGATAGATAGATAGATAGATAGATAGATAGATAGATAGATAGATCATCATCCTGCGACCTCAGCCGAGATTGAACTCACTACACCTCTCCAGTATTCCCTATCCGTCATAGCTCCTAAAAGATCTTCCTTAGGGATCAATGTATCACGTTTTATCCTATCTGGAAAGGTTAACTTGCGTGATCGATTGTCAGATGATGGGTGCCTCAGAGTACAAATGATGACACAAGTTCATCTGTGGCATGCACAATGCCCGGCGAGCTGGACACGTCTTTTGGGTAACTAAGGTTGATACTCGGCAAGTCACCATATATCATTTCTAGAGTTGGGTGGTTTCGCCATGAGAGATTAAGCACTCTTCTTAAAAGACGTGTATAACATCCATCTAAACGACGCTGTTGTTTTGCTGAGAGAGTCCAAGTTTCAGAGCCATAGAGTAAGATTGGCTCAATAAGTACGCGGAAAAGTTGGATTTTGAATTGACGAGCAAGATTGGATTTCCAGATCTTATCCATTTTGTTACAAGCAGTCCATGCTATACCTTTTCTAATGTTGAAGTCTTTCTCAGAGTTCTTGATGTGATCCTAAATACTTGTAGTCTTCGACACATTTGACGATGTTATCTGAGAGTGTTTTTGATCTCATGATTGTTGCGAATGTTAATTGGCATACACTCAGTTTTAAAAGTCATTTAGGTGAAGACCTGCACAGTTAGCTGCTGATTCAAGAGAAGAAAGGAGTGCTTAATGGGCACTAATGAGGTTGTCAGACAACAGTGCAATGTCATCAGCAAAATCAGCATCGGTGATGTAAAGTGCAGGATGACGTGAGCTTCTTTTTCTTTGATTGTGTCCACTGATATACGCATGATGTAGTCTATTACAATGATGAAAAGGAAAGGTGCTAGTGTGTCACGTTGGAGAATGCCAGCCAGAATATCGAAAGGTTCTGTTTCACCATCTGGGGTCATGACAGTGGTCTGTGTGTTGGTATACAATACTTTGATTGCTTCAATGATTTCTACTGGTATCCATAGAGTTCAAGAATTTCAAACATTGTCTCGCGGTTGACTGAGTCGAAAGCTTTGCTGAAGTCTACAAAAATAAGATCTGCAGTTTTGTTGCAGAATGTGATTTCCCCCAATTATTCTACGCAATGTGAGATTTGTCCAAGAGTGGAACGACCTGGGCCCAAACCATTTTTTGTTTTTGCGTAGAATGGGTTTAACTTCAGCGCGAATTTGATTCAGAAGAAGTTGTTATAGATTTCGCAGCTATAGGAAGCAAATCCGGGTATCGCGATAATTGGTTGGTAATGTCAAATCGCCCTTTTTGGGGATAGGGATGATTTGCGATCGTAGCCAGATGGTTGGTGAAACGTGGCTGGCCTTTTACATAATTACACAGATCAAGAAGTAATTGGTGAAAAATAGGGTCCTTCCACAAGATGACCGAATCTTGTCAGAACAAGAACTTTGTTCATTGTCTTCATCAGAACACATTTCAACTTTGCAATGGTGTAAAAAATGGTATGTTCAAAGCACTACTAATTTGAACTTTGGGAGGGACACGTGGTCTGAAAAGACTTTGCAGGATTACCAAGGAGGTTTTTGAAATGAAAGCCAGTTTTTCCAAACCTTTGCTCACGGCTGCCATCGACAATTGTTGGTGGAGGTTTTGATCCCTTTCCCACGAGTTCATTTATAGTTTTTCCAAGCTGCAGAGTGTTGTTGGTTGATATGAAGATGGGAAATATCAGTTTTTTTCCCATTTATATAAGATTCTTCTGCCTCAAGATAAGCATGATCGAGGGATTTTTTAGCAGCTGTTAACTTCTTATTGCTCTGAGAAGGGTGGCAATGGTACATCGATGAGAGTTTCTTGAGATTTTCTCGAGCTTCTGAGATTTTGATGCCTGAACTAACTGGACTTCTTCGTGATTTTGGTTTTTTGGGGAGCGTAGATAAAGCCACCTCCTCGTTGGCTTTAATCAAGTTTCCATAGATCAGGTCTATGTTCCTTGAATCTAACTGAGAGTTCTCTGGGTCATAATGAGAGAGTTCTTGGAATCTGTTAAACACATTCACTGCATACTGAGATGATAGATTCTTGTCACGGTAGACCGCTTTCCAGTCAATAGCTTTCATGGGATCCGCAGTTGGTCTTTTCGAAACTCTAAAACTCAGTTTAACTGTAGCAGAGACAATTCGATGGTCAGATCCCACGGAAGAGAAAGATGAGTATGCTTGGCAGTCCTTGATACTATTCTGCCACTTCTTACGGATCAGTATGAAGTCCAGTTGGGCTCTGCTGCCATTTGGATACTCAAAGGTCCATAGTTGATTGTTGCACTTCATAAACTTAGTGTTAGCTGGATACAGATTAAATTCCTCCATTAAGTCAACCAGATGCTCGCCATTACGGTTGGTTTCTGTATGGAAAGTGAATTTGGTATCATCTGTTCCAAGCTTAGCGTTGAAGTCCCCAGGTACTAAGAGAAAGTTATGAGCTGGAACATTCTCCAGAGTAGAACGTAGAATATTGTAAAACTGGTTTATTTCTTCATCGTCACTATCGTTGTGGGGACTATAGCAAGATATGACTGTTGTTCTAGGATTACCTTTGAAATCGGCAATAACGACTCGATGATATCTTCACTACACTCGATAAATTCTCCATCGCTTTTGGTGAAAGCAGAATGCCTACACCCGCTATAGATGAGTTGGCGGAGTTCTTCACACATGAGGCCGTAACAAGATGATAGTCTTCGATCCTGTGGTACTCAATATCAGTGTCTGGATGGAAGAAACGATGTTCTCGAATGGCAATTATATCGATATTCTGATCCTCTGTATTTTTCACAAGTTCGTTAAGACGGGACGGTGGATTCAGTGTCCTAGTATTGAACGTGCTGATAAAAGCACGGTTTCTACATGATACAAGTTTTGATCTCGTTCCTTTATCGTCGGGAGCAGCCCGCCCCGAGGGGTTCAGAGCTGTTCCCTCAGAGTTTCGAGCAAATGGTTGCATGATGACGACTGGGCCCACCCTGCTGAACAATGGGACACCTGCCGGGGACAGCACAAGATGTTCCAGCCCCACTCACGTCACTACCTTCAATACTTTGATTGGTGTAGTTCATAATCTTGTCAAATAGCTGAATACATGATGCTTCGCTAGGGCTATCAAGGGTGTTTTTATCGTGTCACCATCACTAAATGGATTGCCAAGCAAGGCTCAGAGAGACTCCATTCGCCCTCATCTAAGAAAGACTATCCCGCGCCAGATTCCAACCTGGTATTTAAATGTCTAGATAGATAGATAGATAGATAGATAGATAGATAATGAACATAATTAGATAGATAGATAGATAGATAGATAGATAGATAGATAGATAGATAGATAGATAGATAATGAACATAATTAGATAGATAGATAGATAGATAGATAGATAGATAGATAGATAGAAATTATACAACCGTTTTCTCGGATCAATTATGAAAAATTAATTCAAACGAATGAACCCTGTAAGTTTTAAAGAAGGTTATCTTTCATCAGATCTCATAGACTGGCGCTACACAATCACAAACAAAGAACTTTACCAGATAATAAAAACCACATCACTTAAATACTTCCAACAGCGCAAACAACTAAAATGGATTGCAGATGTAAGTAGAAAAGAAAATGATAAGAATTCGACGTTCCACATTATGTTATACAAAACGTTAGGAAGGAAACGCCTATAAATAGTAGAAAAAGTGATATCAGTTATTAGACTAGGGTGGATGACTCATTTTCATGAAAATATGTTTTAGGCCTGCGTTAGTCACCTCGAATTTCCGAAAATGGACAGCATCCTGACGTCATTCTCCCACGACGACTGAGCTACAACTGCGCCACCCGCGTGCTACACACACTCAAATATTAGGAGGGTAGTGGGAGGGAGCAATAGAAGCAAGTTGCTGGCTAGAAATTATGAGCACTTTTTAAAATTTTGGGAGTAACAAAACACCTCATGTGACTATCGCTGGGTTAATGAAAAAGGTTTTATAATCTATGGAGATAAGTGTTTGTAGGATGTGCATGAGGATGGTGTGTGTGTGTGTGTGTGTGGGGGGGGTTATTGCTTATTCAACAATCATTTCCCATTCTATTCCAATGGGAAATGGGTTGAAAATGAACAAAGATTGACTCTAATAATCATACTATAATGCTGGTCGTTGTTTTAAAAAGTAAGTGGGTACAAATAAAGAGATTGACAGCTTTTTCACTGAAACATGTGTTAAACACATGAGTGTTATCACTGCTTCTATATTCCCTTCTTGCTTTCATTTTCTCACTGAAACCAGGTAGCGTCTCTGATATGTCTTCTCTTTTGTTCCTTCATTTTCACACAGAAACCAAGTATGTCTCGATATGTCTTTTATGTCTTTTTCATTTTCTCACCGAAACCAGGTAGCGTCATTTTTTCACACTGAAACCAAGTAATATGTCTTTTCTTCTTTCTTCATTTCACACACTGAAACCAAGTTCTCTGATATGTTTCTTTCTTTCCTTCATTTCAAAAACCAGGTAAGTCTCTGATATGTCTTTTTCTTTTTTTCCACATTTTCAAACTGAAACCAGGTAGCGTCTGATATGTCTTTTTCTTCCTTCACTGAAACCAGGTAGCGTCTCTGATATGTCTTTTCTTCTTTCTTTCATTTTCAAACTGAAACCAAGTAGTGTTGATATGTCACTTTCTTTCTTCATTTTTCTCACTGAAACCAAGTAGCGTCTCTGATATGTCTTTTCTTTCTTTCCTTCATTTTCACACTGAAACCAGGTAGCGTCTCTGATATGTCTTTTCTTTCTTTCCTTCATTTTCACACTGAAACCAGGTAGCGTCTCTGATATGTCTTTTCTTTCTTTCCTTCATTTTCACACTGAAACCAGTCCGTTATTTTGATATATCCTTTCTTTCCTTCATTTTCACACTGAAACCAAGTAGCGTCTTGATATGTTTTTTCTTTTCATTTTCTTTATGTCCTTTCTTTCCTTCATTTTCTCACTGAAACCAAGTAGCGTCTCTGATATGTTTTTTTTTTTTCTCACTGAAACCAAGTAGCGTCTCTGATATGTCTTTTTTTTCTTTCCTTCATTTTCACACTGAAACCAAGTATTTTCTCTGATATGTCTTTTTCTTTCTTTTTCATTTTCTTGAAACCAAGTAGTCCTGATATGTCTTATTTTCCTTCATTTTCACACAGAAACCAAGTAGTCTCTGATATGTTTTTCTTTTTCCTTTTCATTTTCTCACTGAAACCAGGTAGTGTTTATGTCTTTTTCTTTCTTTTCCTTCATTTTCACACTGAAACCAAGTAGTGTCTCTGATATGTCTTTTTTTCTTTCCTTTATTTTCACACTGAAACCAAGTAGCGTCTCTGATATGTCTTCTTTTCTTTCCTTCATTTTCACACTGAAACCAAGTTCTTTATGCTTTTTTCTTTCATTCATTTTCACACAGAAACCAAGTAGCGTCTCTGATATGTCTTTTCTTTCTTTCCTTCATTTTCTCACTGAAACCAAGTAGCGTCTCTGATATGTCTTCTCTTTCGTTCCTTCATTTTCACACTGAAACCAAGTAGCGTCTCTGATATGTCTTTTCTTTCTTTCCTTCATTTTCTCACTGAAACCAGGTAGCGTCTCTGATATGTCTTTTCTTTCTTTCCTTCATTTTCACACTGAAACCAAGTAGCGTCTCTGATATGTCTTTTCTTTCTTTCCTTCATTTTCACACTGAAACCAAGTAGCGTCTCTGATATGTCTTCTTTCTTTCCTTCATTTTCACACTGAAACCAAGTAGATGTCTTCTTTCTTTCCTTCATTTTCACACTGGAAACCAAGTAGCCCTTATATGTCTTCTTTCTTTCCTTCATTTTCACACTGAAACCAAGTAGCGTCTCTGATATGTCTTTTCTTTCTTTCCTTCATTTTCTCACTGAAACCAAGTAGCGTCTCTGATATGTCTTTTCTTTCTTTCCTTCATTTTCACACTGAAACCAAGTAATATGTCTTTTTCTTTTTTCCTTCATTTTCTCACTGGAAACCAGGTAGTAGTCCTGATATGTCTTTTTCTTTCTTTCCTTCATTTTCACACTGAAACCAGGTAGCGTCTCTGATATGTCTTTTCTTTCTTTCCTTCATTTTCACACTGAAACCAGGTAGCGTCTCTGATATGTCTTTTCTTTCTTTCCTTCATTTTCTCACTGAAACCAAGTAGCGTCTCTGATATGTCTTCTTTTTGTTCATTTTCACACAGAAACCAAGTAGCGCCCTCTGATATGTTTTTCTTTCTTTTCTTCATTTTCACTGAAACCAGGTAGCGTAATGATATGTCTTTTCTTTTCTTTCCTTCATTTCACCCTGAAACCAAGTAGCGTCTGATATGTCTTTTCTTTCTTTCTTCATTTTCACACAGATGAAACCAAGTAGCGCCTCTGATATGCCTTTTCTTTCTTTCCTTCATTTTCAAAACCAGGTAGCGCCTCTGATATGCCTTTTCTTTCTTTCCTTCATTTGGACACTGAAACCAGGTCTGTCTGATATGTCTTTTTTCTTTCTTTCCTTCATTTTCACACTGAAACCAGGTAGCGTTTGTCTTTTCTTTCTTTCCTTCATTTTCACACTGGAAACCAGGTAGTTGCCTCTGATATGTCTTTTCTTTCTTTCCTTCATTTTCACACTGAAACCAGGTAGTCCCTCTGATATGTCTTTTCTTTCTTTCCTTCATTTTCTCACTGAAACCAAGTAGCGTCTCTGATATATCCTGTCTTTCATATAATCAAAATGGAATAATCCATTATTTATGAGGGTATAAAGATCAAGCTATCTAAAATAGGAAAAAGCAGAATTATTTTTATTCAGTCACTTATGTGAATGATACGGCAATCATGTATCTTTTTTACATGACTGACGAAGGATTTTTTTCCGAGAAGTTGCCATTTTTTCTGCAGTATCAATGCCATCCAAGATTATTTAACCCGGTCTGTCCTGCCACCCATAGTTTTGGGGAGAAGTCCCCTTTGATATTAGAACATTTTATGTAATAGATTTATTGGAATTCGAACTCAGCTCTCCGATTTCTCAATCCTATTCATTACTCAGCCATGCCCTTTTTTTTTTTTTTTTTTTTTTATTGCTGGGGTTGTTTTCATTTTCTGCGTTTTGTTTTGTTTTTACCTTTTCGTTGTTAGTTGTTTTGCGTTTTGTTGAAGACTTTTTATTTGTTTTTTTGTTTTTTTTATCTTTTGAGGACTTTTTGTTGCTTTTGTTTGGAATTTTGTGGAGTTTGTTTATGGTTTTTTTTTTTTTATTCTTTAAACCTTTCCAAAACAGAAACTATGTTCTGGACTTGGAAGAAAAGCAGGAATTGCACATACCTTGAGTCTATCATAAAAATTCAAGATGTGGAATTAATAAATACTAAACACTTTGAATATATTGGCGTATGGATCAGTTATAACAAATTTAGTATAGAAGAAAAAGAAATTGAACATGGAATACGCTAAGCCAGGGGTAGTTTCACCCAATACCGCACGTTGCTACAAAACTAAAACATCAACTTGAAAACTCGAGTCATGTTCTTAAATAGCCTTGTCAGATTGAGACTTTCATATGGATGCAATGCATGGTACCAAACCTGTTCAGAAATATCTAAACTGTCAACTGTATATAACTGCTAAGATCAATGGTTACAAAAGGCTTTGAGAGTGAAACTTAATGGTCTTGTCAAAGATCATCCTTCTTTGAACATTATAGACTGGTGATACAGAATCACAAAGAAATGTAAACAATAACAGAGACCATAGCACTTGAAGACTACCAACAGCAGCAACAGCTAAAATGGATAGCACATGTAACTCGAAGAGAAAATAATAAGGCGTTTACATTCCATACTACTTCAAATAAAACGGTTAGGAAGGAAACCACTAACAATTAAGTCTGCAAATGAACCATTCGTCCTTGCATGGAGTATTGCTGCCATATATGGTCTGGTGCACGTTCTGTTTACCTCGGAGTTCTTGACAAGATCCAGAGGTGGATATGTAATATAATTGGCCCTGATCTGGCATCTCATCTACAGTCACTCTCTCACAAACGTGCCGTCACCTCCCTCTGTCTTTTTTACAAATACTTTCATGGTAATTGTTCCGAGGAGCTGCTTTCACTGGTTCCCAGACGTCATGAATTCAAGCGCCCTACGAGGCTGGCATCCAGTTCCCACCCATACATGTAGAAACTTTTAAATGTAGCCGTCTCTTCTACTTCAATAGCTTCATGTCTCACACTTCTCGCCTGTGACACTCCCTCCCCTTTTCCTGTTTCCCTGAGAGCTATAATCTCCAGCTATTTGAATGTAATGTCAATCGACATCTCCAGATGCCTTGATCTTTCTCTTCCTTTCTTCTATCACTCCTCTTTGCTCTCGCTCCAACTCTCTGTA